TTGATTTAATTCATTTGTTTTATTGATTTCTGTATTTGAATCGGAACTATGTACGGAATTTGTTTGCCTATTATAATCCATTTTAATTGAAGTATTAAAAAAGCTTTTGGTGTCATTTACATTAGATGATAAAGTCGAGCTTGAATTTGTCTTGTGAAGTTTTCTCGTATTATTGTTTTGTGGTGAGAATAGATTTCTCTGATTGTAATAAGGATTTTGTGACTGATAAATACCAGTCTTTAATACAGCATTGTAAGCAATGTTTGCTAATCGTCCCATAACGTTCACCTTTTTTCTGTAAAAAAGACAAAAAATTAGAATAAAATTGTCATTTCGTATATTTTAATGTTAATATAAACTTACCTTTTACTCATACGTGCCATATCAAAACTTATATATTGAATGTGATGCTCGGGAGGTAGGAATTGATTCAAATATTTCACAGCCATACTTAATTCTTCGCTTAATGTACTTTCATGTTTCTTTTTTTCCCGTTTTTTTACTAAATTTAATATAATTATTGGTGATCCATATCTTTTCAACAGTTGATTAAAATGCGCCCCTAAAAATATTTTAAATGAATAAGAATTTTATATGTATCTTACAATCACACAGAATACAATCAATTTGTTAATATTTGTATATCAATACCTGCTTTTTCTACATAAAGATCGGATAGCTGATTTTATGATAACTGGATCTCCTTCAGACTTGGTAATATCATGCAACACATCTCCGTAAACTATGTCACGAAAGGCTTCCGACGTGGACGACAACTGATATTTTCAACAAAAGCAACTGCTATAAATAAATCTACAACTATCAGTCTATCCGTCGATCTGTGTCGATCAAATTATATAAGTTTAGAAGAGACATACCTTAAATCTAATACAATAAGTCGAGTCCTTCAGGAGCATTTCCTTAATTTTATCCTTAGCAAAATGCTGACACCTGTTGTACTTGGGTACTTGTCCACACTTGATCACCTCTTTCCTCAATAATTCCAGCCTTTTTTCCATACAGAAGCAGTAATAAGTGGATCCATCGTTCAAGAGTTTAAGTACCTGCTCGCTGGAACAAATAATGGATTTGTAAGGTACATTATATACACATACACACACGTGCGCGCAGGGATATGCTTTTGGCAAATTCCTAATTTACACACTTAAAAATGGTGAGAAAGCAATGTACAAAATTCTAATTTTTTTTAGAATTTTTCATGTTTTAAATTTATAAATAATTTTGTAAAAATCTTTAAATTTTAATTGACATAAATACATATTATTTTAATTAGTTATATACTATAATATAATAAAAAATAATAATTTAAAAATAAAAAGTAAATATTTATACATATTGTAATTTTG